TATATATATATATATATATATATATATATATATATATATATATATACAGGGAGTGGAAGCAAAAGTAAAGATACATAATTGATAAAACAAATCGGAATTTGTTTGATCACCAATATGCTTTCAGTCTTACTAATTACCCCCAGTTTAATGTTTCTCTGTTTCAGAATATCGGACTCTAATGTTCACAAGAGTTATTAAACACACACACACACACACACACACATACATACATACATACATACATACATACATACATACATACATACATACATACATACATACATACATACATACATACATGTTTGAAATTGCGTCTTTCAAATATGAAAAAAAACTGTATGTTTTACTTTAGCCACTGTGATGGCACAAATTATAATCTGATATCTATATGCATTATATCATTTTCAATAATGCATGCGTATGCATTTAAATTCAAATGAGTTTGCTCACAAAATATTAGCGATATATGTATACAGTATAATACCTTGTTAGTATATCACACGTACGTTTCGTCCTATTGTTAAACGCAACCACTATCGTTTGTCATGAAAGAATAAACAGTCCCAAGCAATTATATGTTAAGCCTATGCGCATAACAGAAGGAAGTTAATGTATTATACTGCCAATCGATAAAATAGTAGTATCTAATCACAAATCGATATGATTCCGGGACTTTAATTTAAGTAGCACTTTGGAATGCATACTGCCGTTGATCTGTTTATCTATCTTTTGCTATTTCTATGTTCATTTTCCTTCCTTCCATCCAGTATTATTAATTTATATGATAATTCTATCTCTTCCCTTGCATATATTTGAATTAGCTCACTTTCATATAAGGACTTACTAATTTTGGACAATTACATAATATATTGAAGAAAGTTTGGTACTGCAAAGAAAACTCCACCCCTACGTTCTCCAAGCAACCATTAACAGACAAGTTTGCGTGCTAAGTAGAATTAGAAGAGAAAAGTAAAACTATACAGAATTTAGGAAAATAAAAACAAATGTCTAATGAACCAGCAAGTTTCAAAACAAAAGTAAACTAAAATAAATTATTCAACCATAATGCAATTTGCTTCAGAAAAAAAAAACATATGTGATTTGCTGAGATATTCATTTTACAAATGAATTGTTGTGATTTCACATTTGAAGCATCTATGATTGTGTATGAAATTGCATATTGATCAAAATCTTATATAATGACATCTAAACTCGCCAGATATGAAGTCTTCAAATGTTGTCAATTAATAAAATAAACGAGATGATCTGATCTCAATGACATTAGGTAAAGTCATTCCAGAATCGAGAATATTTATCTACTAACATTGATGCACATTATTTAGATACATATTCTGTACAGGCAGTGCATTTTAGTCCAGTTACTATTCCATGCAATATTCGTTCTTATTATACGCCCATTTTTTTTTCCTCCGTTAACTTTATATTGCAGAATCGTGCAATATTTTACAATATTTACCTCCGCAGTCAATTCATATTAAATTCACGTGAATAAAGGAATTACTTTCGATTGAAAACAAAAAATTTGTTTCTGAATCAACAAAAGCAGATGCTTCGTGGAATGCCACATACCAGCTGCTTTAGCACATTCTGCGTTAACTTTATAATACAATGTTTCAGATTTAGGCTAAATATAGACGCCAGACAGGATCCTTACAAATAAAATGTCAGTGCCAAAACATGAACTATCTTCTTTAGATGGTAATAAGAATGGCAAATATACATACTTACAGTTTTACATCCGGAATTTCCTCAAAATTTACTTTCTTAGTTTTGCAAATTCGAAGATAGATAGATAGATAGATAGATAGATAGATAGATAGATAGATAGATAGATAGATAGATAGATAGATAGATAGATAGATAGATAGATAGATAGATAGAAAGCTTAGATAGATAGATAGATAGATAGATAGATAGATAGATAGATAGATAGATAGATAGATAGATAGATAGATAGATAGATAGATAGATAGATAGATAGATAGATAGATAGATAGATAGATAGATAGATAGATAGAATGATGGATAGTTATTTTAACTCCTCTTAGCGGGTACAGTTCACTAAATTTAGAGCACAAATGGCGTTGTCTCGATTCTCAATTACAAGATGTATTTCATTTTTTTTAAAGAAATATTTAAAATTAACATGTCTGTTACTTCTCCTTTATTAGAGAACTGTGACGTTTTAATTTATGGAATGATACTATACTCTATTAGTTCGTGCATCTACGGGCCATTTGCATATATCATATTTGTAGTATTGTGGGTAATCGATATAGCACAAAATCTGTTGAAGACTGCTGCCCGGGCGGAGACCAATGGGTTTGTGCTAGACATGTACGTAATATTCATCTATTATAAAAGTGCAAATTTATCCACCTTTCGTACTTAAGCAAATTACAAAGCCGAAACACGTACATCATCCGATATTTTATATTGTACTTATCAAAAGCCTAGCGCTGCTAGAACGCAAGCAAAGAAACTGAGAATAGTCTGACCTTTCATTTTCTATGTTTTGTTGCTTGAACGCAACAAGATCTATATAAAACTTCAGCGAATCACGGATTTAGATGAATTCGATAAAAAATAAACTGTGACCACGTTTTTTGAGATGACCTATAATTCTCAACAAATAGGCATTCGAATGTATAGCTAGTAATCAAGCGTAATAACATTGATTCGACAAAATATACTTTTAAGTTTCATCTTTACAAGACTGTTCTTACAACGTAATAAGTTTCAAAAATGTTTTAAATTTAATCAATTTTTTTTCCATGTGCTTTCTTATAACGGATGTAAAAAACATTGAGATAAGCGTGCCGATTGAAGTAATGATCGTGATCGACGTGTAACTGACTTTTATAAAATACTCCAGCAGTACTGCTTTTTATTTTAATAATCTGTGAATATTCATTTATAGGATGTTCCATCAGTTCGGAAATCCGCCAATATTTTTAACGTTTTATATCAGAAATTGCCTTTCATCGACATAAACTATATCAATGAATTATCAGTATTTAAACAATTATAGTTTTAATCATTCCGACCAAATTTAGAGTGAATTTGCAATTTAATAAGATTTTTGATCAATTGCTTGATTAAAATCGATTTTGAGATATTTTCAGTAAATGACTTGGTATGCTCAGGTAATGTATGCAGGTAACATCTGAAATCAAGATTTTTTTTGTACTAAGTTAACTAGTAGATGATGATACAGATAAAGTTATGCTGTATCGATCTCGTATCAACGATAGTAAAAAGATTATGCAATTTCGAAAATATTAAGTGATATAGAAAATATCAACGCATCCTGGTAGTTCATATTTCGAAAATACGATTGATTTGTTAATGTATTTTGTTGGCTTTAATTGTTTACGCCATTGTATCATAGTATATCCAAACTGTCGTGTAGTGTATTATCTCATAATCTTAACCATGTTTGACCGGTTATCAATAATTCGAATAGATTTAAGTAGTACGCTTTTGTTTCGTCCTTGACTTGTGCTTTCAGAAAGACAAATGTTGTGAAGACACGTCTCTTATTACCACATGACCTGTGTGGAATAACAGATTATTACATCTAAATCTGTAGGTTTTCGGTTTCGTTTCCTGTTTCAGTCTGTATCGTGACAAAGTACGTCAACTAGACTATAGGATGATATGAAAAACGGATGTTGGCTATTGTGATAACAGTACTTACTTGCGTATTTTCCATTTCTGTTCATGTCAAGTGGCCCATAAAGTAATGAAAGTGATTTTGAGTCTTCTTGCATAAACACTTATTACTAGACATGGCAACAACTACAAAAAAAACAAAAAAAACAATTCCTTAAATTAGATTTGAGCCACTTAAACGCCCTCATTGGCACAACAGAAAAAGAAAATAAATAATATGTTTAAGTAGCATTCAGTCATCTGAAAGTCTAAATCTAAAAGAAAGTCGGATTTATCTAAATTGTACCCATAAAAACTATTATATCCAATATATTATTTAAAAGTAAGGATTTTAAGGTAAATGAGAAACAAATATCCCGTCTCGAAAGAAACTTTCATGCACCCAACCCTGCGGAAATGAAATAGTTAATCCCTGTAGTAACATATTGTCCATTTTGCCTTTTTATTCTTGATAAATGTCGCAACAACTATCCCCTGTAGTTTTGGCCATATAATCATGAAAGCCACATACTATGTGCAACACGTGAATTAATAACCCACAACAGGGAAGATGGATTTACTCGACTTTTATTTCCTGTGTCATTGGTGTTCCGAGTAGCATGTATTTTCCATATCTGTCAACACAATCTCGAACTTGGCGCAGCTAATTATATTTTCGTCGATAGCCACCTAAATACATTTTATTAATTTTTTTATTGGAAACAAAAAATTAGGTCAACCGCAACTTTGGCAGCCAGGCAAAGAACTAGCCTTAATCACCAAAGCTTGTTACAAATCCATATTTGTTTTCTTTCCAATTGGCAAAACCTTCTTGATTTACCTTTTATGTCCACGACAGCAAACCAACCAACAATTAAGACTTACAATTAGAGACTCTTACTCTACGATATGGACAACAGTATTGTGCAGAAACAAATTTCATCAGTAACTATAGTAGTGAACACGTACAAATAACATCGTAGATTCAAAACAAACAACAGAAGCTTCGCTGGTTACCAGCATCCCACAAATTTCAGCAACGTTTAGAGGAAAAGATTGGCGATAACGTATACAAGTCCAACTGACTGAAGCATCTAGACTCTAATATGTGTAGCAGCTCTAATATTGGCTGTCAATATATGTGTGTGTAAAGGACATGGGTAGGCGAAAGGATGGATATGATACAGGTAAAGATTGCATAATCTGAGTGCGACAGACAGACAGACCATGTGATATGTACATTTTAAGTGTAGCAGAGTTTAAGGTGTACGACAAATGTTGCCTAATGTGGTTGTGCACAATAAATACAATGCCTGTAATGAGACGGCTCTGATGGCCTAGTGGTAAGAGGCGTCCGCCTCTGATGATGGAGGTCGTGTGTTCGATCTACGGCCGAGCCAAAGACATAAAAATGGCACTAACATCTGCCTCGCTTGGGGCTCAACATTAGAAAGTTAGTGTTAGGACTGATCGGCCTGCTGTCAGGATAATGTGAATTGGTTGGACATCATGCTAGATGTCTGCTGCATGATGCCACAGTGCTAGACATCACTACTTTATAACTACTGAGTAAATCTTTACGATTGTAAATCATGATATATAGTATTTTTTTTAAAAAAAAACATGGTAATTATATAAATTGTAATATCACGTGTATACGGTATTGTTTAATACATGCTTCAATACTTCATTAAATTTACCATGTGTTGGTTAACTTGCACGCCAATATTGATAAAGATATGAAACAAAAGAAAAAAAATTATACCGACGAATCAATAATACACCGGGATCTTCATCATTTCATATCTAGGTATCAAGTTCTGCTTACATTGAGATAATATATTCCTCGATATCAAATAATTTTATACGGTATCACAGACTGTTCAATTTTTTATATGAACAATGTCATTCCCTGGTTACATTTATTAGGACCGTGGTAAATATTAATTACCTATTAAATATTAATAATCGTGGCGTAGAATGCAAACTAGCACCCGAATTAGTTTATTACTTTAATAAACGGAACTTAGTATTGATATCACGATATTTGTTATCTCATAGGAATGACAGGGAATGTAATATTGATATCACGGTATTTGTTATAACATTGAAATGACAGGGAATGTAATATTGATATCACGGTATTTGTTATAACATTGGAATGACAGGGAATGTAATATTGATATCACGGTATTTGTTATAAATTGGAATGACAGGTAATGTAATATTGATATCACGGTATTTGTTATAACATTGGAATGACAGGGAATGTAATATTGATATCACGGTATTTGTTATAACATTAGCGTACATATTTTATCTGTAAGTATTAATTCTTACCGAGATATCTTAATATCGTGTTATGCAAAATGTAAAATGTTAATAATAAGGCAGTATCAACAAAAGTACACTAAAATATGTTATCCTTGATAAGTTCATGAATGGCTGCCATAATGAAGAAATAGGTCTAAAATACACAGATATAATGGGGTGTAGCATTCATTGTCTAGTTTTCTTAATGCTTTTAAAAGTACAAATTGAAATTAGATGGTTCTGACCTTCGAGACGTGCATCCATGCATATGTAAGGTCGCGCTTTCTTCTTTCACTGCTATAATTGAGACAAGAAACCTCGACATATGATTGAGTGGTACGTTGGTGTTTAGGTTTGGATTAGGATTTTGGCGTATTTCTGTACAATAAATATTTGAAGGTTATATCGTGCTAAGGCATGTAGAGTAAAATTCTTTCTTGCCAATCAGGGATGGAAACATGGTGGGTATCGTCCCGGCACCTTTCTGATCCAGAGTCCAGCTTGGTCCGTCGATGTTGAAGATTTCAAAATATTGATTCAGCAACAAAGAAGCTTAAATGGATTGATTCTCTTTTATTCTGTGCTTGTTCTAAACATGTCTTGCTCTTAGATAAAGCTGGTAAAGTCAGTTGTTCCATGATTTCTCCAGAACGTTTTGGCTTACACTTGAAATAACTACAAATTTAGAGTCTGTGTAGGTGTATTTCAGTTTTCAGTTTGAACACAGCTTAAAGTCTTGTAGATTAAACTATTAAAGGTTTAAGTTTACTTTCAAGAATTATTTTAAAGGCTAAATGAAGCATGGGTTCGAAAAACGCTGTTGATCGTATTTGTTCATTGCTTAACATGAAGTAATTGACTGATTCAAATTATTATTTATGTAGTGATTTTTTTTTACTGTAGACATTAAAATTATTCAAAAAATCATTTGGGTTTTAGAAGGGTAATTGACAAGGCATATGGTACATAATTAATATAAGTTTTAGTATGAAAGATAGAGTAATGTACCTTGAATACGAAAAGTAGCAAAAGTTAATTTTGAATCATGCGATCCCAGCGCGTGATATGATTGAATTGTACAAGTCGTGTAACTGTCCCAAGATTGTTATCTTATCATAACTACATGCTCTTGCAAGAAGGTTTTCCAAGTGAGAGAGAGAGAGAGAGAGAGAGAGAGAGAGAGAGAGAGAGAGAGAGAGAGAGAGAGAGAGAGAGAGAGAGAGAGAGAGAGATTCCGATTCTGATTCTGATTAAACAACCGACAACAAGGTTAATTTCCGGAACAGCGATAAAATGCTTGGGAAGAGTTCCGCGACGTTGTTCACTAAGGCACAAATGTCACAAAGGATAAAGTTCATAACTTTTAAATAGAGTGCGTTGGCTACTTTTGGTAAGCCCTCGTATAAACAACCTATTCGCAGTGGCTGGTGAGCAATACTTAATGGTTACTGCATTAGTATGGGAAAATGTGAACTAGTTTATATTTCAGATAACAAATGCAGTAACCTTTTTTATATAATCATTTTCTTATCCTACCAAAGGCTTAATTATAAACAAATACACAACAAGAAACAACGTAAACGAATTTATCCTGTGTTCCAACATAAATAATGTAGATTAATCATTACGCAAGAATAAAACATAAACATTAATGCGCACTTAGAATCTCCCAGTGACCTTTGAACAGTCTCGGGCTCGACATCAGTTTCGAAAAGATTTGATCTCCTTAAAATTGAAATTCAGAGCCATCTTGTGAATGAACAGCTTTTCCAGTTCTCCTGGAATGAATGGATTGATTGTATCTATTCTGCTCAATTTCGCTGAGTATTGACTGGATTTATTAGCTGTGTCAATTTCACACAAAGTACACGTGCTTTGAACACGGCAGGACTCGTCTTCACTCGGCTGCATGTGTGTTTCCGTTCTGCCATTGAATGTTTGGAATCATTATGTGGGAAACATATGAGCTCCTGAACTGTACTTATCATTTTGAGTGCAGTAATGAGAGTGTTATTGCAGGTAGAAATGTAATCGAAATTACAGTAAAATTTCGAAATGTATAATCTAGTTTAGAAAATATTACTTAGTTCATGTAATTCGGATTTGCAGAACTTTGAAAGTACAATTTTCTACCAGCTAAAGAAGACATGTTTATGCTTGGTAATTGCAAGCACTTTGTAAGGACCCAAGCTATGTTATGACCTTCAAAGCAAATATCTCTAGCTTAAATATTTGAAACATTTTATCAACAAAAATTGTAAAGTAGCTGGTGTGTGAAAGTCCATTCAGCCAGTAGAAATATGAATTCTTCGTTGTGTTGGAGTATTGGGTCTGAGTCTCTAACTTTTCTACCAAAACCTTCAGTTGCATTTTTCCTACGACTTTAGTACTTTCACCTATTAAATGGTACGCCTCTGATAGATATGCGATACTCTTGTCCTCAGTATACTTTTTTATGCTATTTTATCATACCCCAGAAAGCACTGGTCGTAGTCTGAATCATTCCATTAAAGAAAATTTATGAATATTTATCCTAGATAACTATGAAATAATCAGAATGGTATTTTCAGCACTGCGTCTCAAGTCTGTTGTGTAAATTGCCAATATCACGTTCGTTCATTGCTTGTTTAAGCGTTTTATTTGTCACTCAGTAAACTCGTTCATATTACTCATTTTATCATTTCAGCTTTTAAATAGACGAAACAGCTGCTTTAAATTATTCACAAACAAATCTAATAAATTAAAACTATATGTCTACTACACGAGTGTAAATGGCTTGTTTACAATATAGTTCATAATATACTACAATATTTGTAGGCACACTTGTCGTGTGTGTGCATACAATATCAAGGTGTTCAGTATCGTAAAATACTGGACAATTCTGACAATGTAAAGTTAACGGAAACAAGAGTATAAAATATTTTTAATAGGCCAAATGCTATATTCTTGTGGCTTAATTTGAGAGATATAGCAGTTGCAAATACTGATATTCATTCATTTGTACAATATTCAAAAGTTTCGAAATATTAATTCTTCTCAACTCTTCATTTATATTTATTTTTAAAGGCTAAGCTTAAAATATGACGTGGTACAGCATTGAACACGTTTTATTTTATGTTTACTGGTAAATAATAATATCAGAAATATTTTAGCAAACAAAATGTGTACTGAATAATGTAGCTTATAGACCAGATAACCACATAATTAGACAGGCGATTTTTAATGACCATATACTGTTAAACATAAAGCAGTCCTTTATCTATCTGAATTTATTTTAATATGTTATGTCACACTCTTAATGGGATGAGATCCATAGTTATAACTAGATGACCCAATTTTATAGTTGAGAGAGAAATTGTCTGATATGCAAGTAATAGGAAATCGTGAAAGGAAAGTTGACAAGGTGAAATATTCCGATAGAATTAAGTGCATTTGAAAACTTTTCAAAGAGAATTGACTTAGTTATGAAAAGTATGAAAATTCTTTTTTTCTAATTATTTAAAGGCAAATTAAAGAGACGGTGGCTGATTAATTAAGAAAACGTTACGTGTAAAACCAGAATAGTGAAAGTAAATTAGCTAAAAATAAATATATAACTGAGAAAATTACGAAACCTCAGCTGAATGAATGTATTAAAACTATTGATAGCTTGGAAGGTTTGCATAATAGGACATTAAAACGATCAAATGAATAATATACAACTTGAGGTTCCTTTTAGTGGGTACATATATGATATTGGATTCATTTTTAGTTATGCACATGTGTCCTAAACACTTACAAACACTTTTCACTTTAAGTATATAAATCAATCTGATATTACATTTATTAATACTTGTTAGCTACATCGTATGTCATGAAAGTAAAGTGTTCGTCCGTCGAAACGACGAGGGAAAGTAGAAAACAGAAAAAGCATAATATTTTGTTTACTTCACAAAGTGATAGATGTTAAAGATTCAAGCTTGACACCTTTTTGAATCCCGCGCATAAAAGGAGAAAGGCCAGTAGACGGAAGGAGACAGAGAATTCATACGTCTAAGAAACAAGTGTTAAAATGTATGAAATTCTTTTAAGCTATTATCCGAGTAAT